TATGAAGTTAAAAATAAATGAAAACTTGAAAAACAATAAAAAAAAATATAAGGAAAAAGTCGAGGTGAAAATATATATATATATATATATATATATATAATTATATATAATATATAAAGAAGAGTCGAAAAACTGTGAAGAAGTTACAGTTTGTTTTTTTCAACAAAAAATAGAGGGGTGTTACTGAAATTTGAACCCTCACAAAGGGCATTTGTGATCTTTGAAATCAACTCTAGAACCAAAGCACCCGTGAAGCATTTTGTTCAATGGGTGCTGGCATATATTATATACCAATTTTTCAGTATTTTCTATATACATATATAAATTTCCATCTGGGTTAATGGGTGCTCGAGCACCCAAACCTCTATACGTGGGTTCACCCCTGTTTCTATGGACCGAAATCAGGCGAAAACCCTATTTCTTTGGTCCTTATGCAAGGTACTACTAACATTAAACTCCTTTCTGGTTTATATGTGTTGTTTTGCTTCTGATGTATTTGATAAATGCTGCTGTAAGTGTTTGAACTTTTATGCTTTAGTAGTTGTACGCAGAGGTTTTTTTTTTTTTTTCGGTTAGTCATTTGCTGGTGTAGGTGGATGCAGTGGAACTTTTTGAATGTCACTAACAACTTCGATGTGGATGAGTTTTGGCTATCTTCATATTTTGGGAAAATCATGTGAATGTGCTGCCTCTTTTTCTGCTATGATTGAGGTGTCTTTCTTTTTATTTTAATGTAGCGATTACACGAGTAAATAGTCACAACTGCAAATACTAGAAGAAATGGGAAAGAGAGATTAATTGCAAAGAGAGACGAAATTGAATGAGATGGATGACAAATTTATGTTATGCTTTAAAAACTTTATCAGTTAAATCTCTGATTTAAGATTAGTACATATATGTATGGTGGAAGGAATAATCTGTTAAATCTTTGTTTTCTGCTGGATTTTCTATTTTGGTAGATCAAGGTTTGAAACAAGGAGGTATGCATCTGTAAAATCCTTTGTCTGTTTCTGAGATCTTTACTAAACAATATATATACTTTTTTAGGTTGCAGTGAAGGAACAAATGAGCTTATGGATGAGCCATGGCTTTTGGTGGCTTAAAGTGTGATGAAGGACTTACTTTTGTCATTTCAACATGTGAAATGTGAAATGAAGGGATCTAATATGGAAGAGTTAAAGCCAACTCTGGTTGCTTGTTTTGGAAAAATTCTCTTTCATGGGTTAGTATTGTTCATTTCTCATATTAAGCTTGTCATATTAGGAATCCTTGTAGTCTTTTGTGCCCTTGTGAAAACTAACACCATTGTGTCCTTTTAATTTGTTTGAAAAATATAGGGACCATTTAACAACCGAAACCCCCCTGGAAAACATAGGGTGTCTGTTCTCTTTTGCACCCCGTGTCATACATTCCCTATAACCAAGTAACAAAGATATTCATTAGTTGGGTAGTCTCTTCTCAATGTTTGTCATTAAGGAGGTTTGTAAAACCCTATTGAAGACGTCAATGCTACTTTATTTTCCTAACAAACTCATTGAAAGTTGTTTCCTTTATCATTTTGTTTTGCCTTGTAGTCCTTACAAATACTGCTAAGTGCTAATCAAAACATTACAAGAGGACTTTATCAAAATTCAAAGATCATAAAAGGACTACTATATTAATGGGCACGTTGTGTTTTCTAATTTCGCATAAACTGGCATATAGAATCAAACAAAAGAGTGGTGTAAAGATTACGCCCAAGAACTCGGCCTCTGAATTAGAATAATTTGCATTTTTACTTTTTCTTTTTTCGTTCGTCAAAGTTGTAGTATTGTAGCCTTCATTCCTCACAATTGTGGTCTCTGCAATTTGCTACTTTAAATCAACCAGCTATGCATCAATTTCGATCTAGTTGGAAAGCATTATATCCTCCGTATATCAGCTGTATTCAAATCCATTTTATTGTAGTACTCATTTTTTTGTCTTGTAAGGCTGATTCAGACTTATCTAAAACTAGAATTTCTTTAAGTTGCAAACTTACTTTTACGTTGGCATACAATTCTCAACTTTTCTCCGAGATTTTATAGTGTTACTTCTTTTGCTGTGTCTGAAGCAGTACTTTGTTGAGTCTATTAAATCCAATGCATGTTTCAACATGTAATCCTCCTCAAATTCTCTGTGATGTAGGATTTCTGCAAATAGTCAAGAATCCCTGAAAAGTAACCCATTGGGTGAAACTACATTGAGGCAAATGAAAAAATCTTTCTATACGAATGTTCCTCTTTCATATATCATATATGGAATATATAGGAAATCTTGCAGTTGAGAAACTTGGCTTAGAATATGTGGAGGAAAAGGAATTATACTACGTCAAGGTAATATTTTCATGTTTCTAACAAATGTCTTCCTCTTTATGCATTGGTTCTTTTAGTTCTATCCATTGTGCTTTGTAGCTTTCAGACAACTTGCGCTCTGATTCAACTGCCGCCTGCAAATGTACGGTGATCAAGGATCAGGGGAAAATTCAGCTCAATAAGGTTAGTTCTCAGTTTCCCGCTTCTTGATGAACTTGCAAGATGCCCAATTAACTCTTTATTTTTCAACTTTAGCAGAACACCATTAATTGTAATTGTTGTCATGAACATATTTACCTCCTCAACTACACATTTAAGATGGAAAATGTTTTCTCCTAGGCACATGTCCCCAAAATCTTCTCTCTCCTAATCTAGGAGATCAGAACTCCCCTCCGGTGACCTTTTGTCACCGGAATTCTCTCCTCTTTCTTTCTTTCAAACCGGCATAATTTTTCTTTTTCTTTCTTTTTCTTCTAACCTATTTTCCTTTTCTTCTAATCAATGGATGAAGATATGATTTTCTTCGCAATGGGATTCAAGTCTTATGACATAGCTAGAGATGAATCACGAGCAGAGATGTGGTATGACTGGACTGAGAGAGGAAGGATCATGATGAGCAGAGCTAGCTTTAGCCAGAAATCGATGGAATGGATCTGTTCGATCCTTAAGGAAGCGTCAAAGGTGAAAGGAACAATGTTAGAAGATGGAGAAGACAGGAGCATGTTTCACACTTATTCTGTGCAAGGAACTTTAACAACAAAGGAAGATATATAAGCATTATCAGCATTCAAGGCAAGAGCAGAGCAGTATTAATAGTCCCAGAAATCTCATTCAATGCTGGTTGGTGGGATCTGGCCACCAAAATTGAAAAGTTCATTCATTACAAAACAAATAAGACAGTCAATCAGAATTACAAAATGGTGGATGAAGAGATTCCATATGCAGAGACGGTGAGGAGGAGCAGATGGTCGTCCAGAGAGATCAATAGTGCAGTCATAAAGGAGAGAGGGGACACCATCCTCGTAAATGGTGGCCTCAATCAACCTCGAAACGAGCTCTTAGGCAAGAGCCTTGTTGGCAGCTTTCCAACAAATGGATCTGAGATGGCCACCCTGTCGGACGTTCGTAGATGGGCAAGACTGTCGGAAGTTCGTAGATGGGCAAGCAAAAATTGGAACCAAGCCCACGGCCTTAACGTTTACGAGATGGGAAACAACTGCTTTCTCTTCGAGTTTACGTCCATAAATGCGGCCGAGCATGTTCTTAGAGGAAGATGGTTGTGGAAGAATCAAGGAATTTGGCTGCAATGGTGGTCGCCGACTGTTGGTGCAATTCAATCTAGGGTTGCCATAAGCCAGTCGTGGATCAGATTAGTGGGCCTCCCTTTACATTTGTGGTCTCAGAATGTATTTAAAGCAGTGGGGGACTTCTGCGGTGGCTGGGTGAAACAGAGGAGGAAACAGATCTTCGCAATCACCTAAAGTGGGCAAGAATACTCGTCAAAGCCAACGGAAATTCCATTCCGAAGGAGGTGAAGATAGCTTTTGAAGGTATTGAGTATATCATACAAGTATGGGACGAAACACCTACAAGGTTTTTCGCCGGAGAGAGTGCCTGCGATATCGGAGGAGATAGGAGGACCCAATCTTCAAACCAATGGTTATTGCAGAAGGGTGAAACTTCGAAATCCACGCCTCTGCCAGCTGGTGACAGGAACTTTCACGTGGGAAGCACAAAAGATTTTGAATCTATTAACAGGGCACGTGATATTAAGCAGCTGAAAGGAAAAGAGTTGGGCCTGGACCCACTGGCCCAACAAGATTGTAACTTAAATGAAAAGCAGGCCAATATTTCAGATTGGGCCTCAGAGCCTTTGCTCGATGAAATACAAGCAAATTACAAGAATTTAGCGGCACCAGACAGGGAAGGCGATCCAGTCCATCTATTCCATGGAGACAGAGATGAGAATTTCGAATTTCTAACAGATATAAGGGACGACGACGATATGTCGATCATTCATACAGAGGAAAGAACAACCACAGAAACACAAACAGGAAACAATATGTTACTGGAACATAAGGGAGATGGGGAAGGTATAATTGAAGATATCATACCACTAAATTCAGAAGAGCAGGACATTGGTATAGCAGCAGAGAACGAAATTCCTTCATGGATCCAACAGAATATTATCAGGCTTAGCAAAGAATTTGGGGTGCACTTTATTGGATGTGAAGAAGCAGCTCTGAATCTATTCATGAAAATTGATGGCAAGAGGGAAGCAATTGAGAAGATGGCTGGAGCCATAGTTCCTACGACTCCAACAGAAAAGATCCCAAGAGAACTCAAGAATCTGGAACCAGCTAGTAACTTCGTGAGCTATGGTACAAGAAGTAGGGGGGTTGTTTCATAGATGTTTTAAATGAAAGTTAACATAGTTTTATGGAATGTAAGGGGCCTCAATGATCCAAGGAAGAGGCTACTGATAAAAAACATGATGAATAATTGGAGGGCAGATGTGTATTGTTGCAAATCGCGCAAAGCCCATTTCGGGTTGATTCGATTCCCCCGCTTGCCCAGGAAATGAGTTGCGTAGCGGTTACCTTAGGGTTAGGGAGGGAATAGCCTTTCAGTCTACTAGCAGCAATTCCATAGCTACCTGAAAACACACTTTCTTTTTTCTTAAGCATCCCGCCTATTCCTTAATGTTAGCTCAGACACTAGGCAATAGAACGAAGTTAGTTCCTAATTCCCACAGTTTTTGCAGTGCTTCTTCTACCCATCTCGATCAAAAGCCCCTTCTTTCCTCGTCCGAGGAACTTTTTCTTATCTCAGCTATCTTGTATGATAACACGACCGTTGGTGCCCTTCCGAGTCGAGAGATAAGGGATTGAAATTCATTGGACTGGACATGTCTTCTCCACGATCTCAGGGAAATTAAAATAAATTCTCAAAGATCCATAAACAAATCTGTAAAGTTGTCTATAAATGTAAAATCATATATAACCCCTTATTTTGAGGCAACTATTCCATAGCCTCTTAGACTGTCAGGAATCAAAAATTAATGGAGACATAAGTGGGGTGGTAAAAGAGATTAGGGCAAATAGGAGGGTCAAATATGCACAATTAGAGGCACGTGGAACAAGAGGGGGCATCATTATCTTATGGGATAGCAGTATCTGGGAGGGTGAAGTTTGTGAAGTAGGGGCTTACTGTATCACATGTAAGTTCACAGGGAAAACTCAGGTTTTTGAATGGCATCTATCTAGTGTCTATGCTCCAAACAGTAGAGACGAAAGAGAAGAAGTATGGGGAGAATTGGGGGCAGTAAGGAGTTTGTTTAGTGGACCTTGGGTGGTGTCTGGGGATTTCAATGTAGTAAGGTACCCATCAGAAAAGAAGAACTGCAAGAGATTGAATAAGGCGATGGAAGATTTCTCAGATTTTATCGAGGATATGGAACTACAAGATTTACCACTGGAAGGTGGTAGTTTCACATGGAGGAAAGGGGACAGACAAGATATTGCAGCAAGACTAGACAGATTTTTGATTTCCGAGGAATGGGAAGTTTCCTTTAGGAAGATTAACCTTTGGCTCAAGGAAGGGGACAGGAATTCAAAATACTTCCATAGGATTGCAAACTATCACAAGAGGTACAACAACATTGACAAATTGACCATAAATGGAGCTAATGTTACTGAACCAGTTGGGATCAAAGATGGAATAATTAGATTCTACCAGGAACTATACAGGGAGGCAGAAGTATGGAGACCTCAATTCAATCCTAGATTCCAATTCATGATCAATGAAGAGGATAATATTGTATTGCAAGGCCAATTTGAAGAACAGGAAATCAAAAACAGTGTGTTCTCATGTCCAGGGGATAAGGCACCAGGCCCAGATGGTTTCTCAATGGCATTCTACATACAGTGTTGGGAAGTGATTAATGGGAAGTGGTAGCTGCTATCCAGAATTTCCATTATCAAGGCTATTTTGAGAAAAGTTTTAATGCCACTTTTATAGCCCTGATTCCTAAGAAAGTGGGAGCATCTGAATTGAAAGATTTCAGGCCAATTAGCCTAAGTAGGAGTTTCTACAAAATCATCTCAAAGATCCTAACAGAAAGACTCAAGAGGGTTATGCCAAAGTTAGTAGATGAACAACAAATGGCCTTCATAAAGGGTAGGCAAATTATGGATGCCATTCTGGTGGCCAATGAATGTGTAGATGTGAGAACCATATCCAAAGTCCCAGGAATTCTTTGCAAGCTAGACATAGAGAAAGCTTATGATCACTTGAACTGGGAATTTTTGTGGAGCACACTAAGGAGGATGGGACTTGCATTTGACCAGGTCGAGGTAAGTGTGAGACTTTTTGAACATTTAATTTAGCTAACCCCTAATTTGCCTTAAAAGGATTTCTTTTTAAGTATTAAAATAAAATGGATTCTTTCTTTCTTTTGTTGCGGTTTGTTTGGGCCATTTTTGTATTTGTTTTACTTGACTCCTTTGATTTTTATATATTATGTGGCCTATTGGTCATTTTGAGGAAAATAAAATGGATCCAAATATAGCAGGAATAGATATAAAAAATACCTATAGCCGTCCCAACTTGTTTTAAATTGGAAGTAGATTGATATTTTCTTTTTAAAAAAAATTGCAAATCACCACCAAATAGAGGCAAAACAGTATAATTGTCTCGAATATGTAATCATGATTCCAACCTCACCCTTGCGATATGGCCTAATCCTATTTGCAAACTGAAATACCCCTTTGTTTTCATCAACATATATTTGATAAGAGACCATCATGCAGAAATAACAAAATATATCTATGTACATCAGCATAGCAGCAAGAAGAAGATAGTCTAGCTAATCATCCTGTTCTGAAATCCATACAAGAAAAAAGGGAAATAAGTACAAAAAGAGAAGAAAGGAAACATATATGAAAGTATGTAACCTTACATCATGCTCAATGCTATCCCTCTCTTGTTCAGTAGTACGGTGCAAATCAACATAATCCTTCTTGTGTTTCATCAAAAATTGCTCTAGGGTCCCAATGCTCTCCAGCTGATTAATGAAATTTTATGAAAAGGATTTTCGGTTTGCGATTGTGTATGAGCAAAAGGATATAAAATCCAAAGCACAAGGAAAGTAACAAAAGAAGATCAGCATTATGTGTAAGAAAAATATACCGTTTTAAGTGCAGCTCTGATGAATCCTGACCTTTGCCGGGGTTTATGCATGATAAAAGATGCCAATAAAGCAGCTGTTTTAGACTGTCAGCAAAAATCTAACTTCAGAGGACATATTCTAAGATCTGATGGTAGTATCACATAGGCTTAACAAAGGGGTGGGGTTGGGGGAGTGGGGGTTGGGGAAAGAGAGTGTTGAAATTTAATTAAATGGAATACTAGTTCCCACACAAATAAGAGAATTATAAATCATCTGCAATGAAAACAAAACTGCCAGACATTTGCAACCACACAAATTATTGATCAGTTTTGGAACCTGATTTTTAGAAGGTTCCTCAATGACTGGGAAGTGGAGAGAATGACTCAGTTCTATAATACCTTGGAACAAGCCAAGAACCTCACTTGTGAGGAAGACAAATTGACATGGAAGCTGGAGAAAGATGGCAAGTTCAAGGTGAAATCAGCCTACAAGTTACTAGACACTTCAACTGAAACAAAGGAGTTGTGGCCTTGGAAGATGATCTGGAAAGGGAAAATACCACATAAGGTGGCTTACTTCACATGGCTTGTTGCAAGACAATCTGTTCTGACTCAGGATAAACTTAATGAAAAGAGGAAAGGACTTATGCTCCAGATGTTTTTTTTGTGAATCTGAGACAGAGACGATAAACCATCTTTTTTTGCATTGTAAAGTGACTGAGAAGCTATGGAAGTATTTCATTAACCGAAGAGGTATCACATGGACCATGCCTAGAAATACTGCAGAAGTCCTAGCATGTTGGAATAGAGATGGAAATCAGTCAGGACACAAGGAGAGATGAAGATTGTCCCTGCCTGCATCTGGTGGACAATATGGAGTGAGAGAAATCAGAGATGTTTTGAGAACAAGAGCATCCCTTTCCAAAGCATTAAAATGAATTGTTTAGTGACCTTTTACTTTTGGTGTATCCATTCTATCCCCAAGGATCCGGGGGACATCACCCTATTCTTAGATAGTTTATGAGGGAGATAGGTGTTTAGTTTCTTTTTGGTAAACCCTCTATACTTTTGATGTAATTACTACAGGAGTTCACTATTGGTGTACTTCTATGTTTATAATACCAGTTAACTTTATCAAAAAAAAACATATTTACCTCCTCTTACGTATCTTTTTGCATGCTTTACTTCCTGCAGTTTGTCTTTCCTTAACAATCTTCTGACACTACGCTTTTTCTTTTAGAGTGAGGTGAACCAAGTACACAACATGGTTGCAGACATGAGCTGTCTTGGCAAAAGCTTAGACTTGAGGTTGATGTTACATACCAAGAAAATCATTACGGCTTTATCTGTAAGTTACTGCATTGAAGATCAAATATCTTGAAAGTCATGAGCTGTCTTGTTTTTTCATGTTTCGTGGCTTTGAGAGTAACAGTGAAATTTTGTTTGCAACATATTTTAACTCCACTCCAGCGAACAAGGACCTTTTCCTGTGTAACTCATTCTATATGCACTTTAGTTTCTCTCTTCTTATCAAGACCTCTGCACTCTCAACTGAAAGGACACCAGTAGAGTTATCTCTAAAGCTTAAGAGTGTGTTCTTATTTAGATTACTCTCTACTTTTTTTCTAGGATGAGGAGATCAATGGAATTAACAATCTTATTGGTTCTGCCATTTTGGACTCAGAAGTTAAGGGTGGGTTGAGATGGCCCTTTGGCGAGGATTCTTTAGGGAGTCAATACGCTGTTATCGATGTCTGGCACACAACTGCAAAATCATATGGGAATTCGTCAATTAGGTTTAAGCTTCGACATCCAGATTGATTTGATTTCAGATCTTCAACTGGTGAGGTTGCACAGGAAGCTAGCCTGAAAATGCCTGGGATTGTATCCCAACTGCAGGTAGGCCTGCCTTCTTTTCCTAATGAACAATTATGTATATTTCTGTTGGTAATACATCTGTGCATGATTGTATTTGGCATGGTTACACGAAACCATAGCATGATATTCTTACAAATAAGATTTGAATATTGTATCCTGTACCCACTGAATGATTACATGCTCCAAAATGGGTAAAATATCATCCAGAGTAGCTGGAGCAAACTGATTCCAATCTAGTTCATTTCTGTCGGAAATTATCCAACTTTTTGTATGTCTTCAAAGAATTTACGTTAAAAAGTTATAATTCAGATTTAGAGTAGTCCGTGTTAGCGAATGGTTACATAACTGGCATGTGCTAAGGAAACACAAACGAAACCTTGCAGTCTCTTCATTGTTGAATTGATTAGCCTTTCTGTTTTTCCCCTCGACTGCTGAAATAATTAATTTAATTACATTTTCTTACCGGAAATGCAGGAGCAAACGATTGACGAAAAGCTGGTGCTTAAAATGCTTGAAGACAACTTGAGGTTAATCTGGGATCACTGTTTGTCTGATGGTTCTTCAAGCTGACCATGTTTCGTGGTCCTTTGCAAAATATCTGCAGAAACTGTTCGACTCACAAGCTATGTTCGGTTGGTGAAGAAAGTTGACCTTTTGTATTTTGTGTTGATGGAATGTATAGATGTAGATAACTAAATTATTAAACCCAAAATGTTGAAATGTTTTTGCACTATGTAGTTTGTGTATGGAATGAAATGAAATGAACCAAAGCCTCTGATGTTAGCAACATCAGTAGGATCAAACTGTTGTGTAATGGATCGAACTTCTTATTCAAATGTACTGTTGAGTTCTCACTTTTGATTTTACTGAATGCTGGGAAATGTAAATAGCATATTGATGCATAGAGGAAAAGTAATACAATGTCTGCACAAAGCAAATGAATGCAAGACATGGTTAAGATAAACAGAATGAGGGCATGTTGAAATATTAGAACACCAGATAGGGATTTCAAAGGAGAAGAAATATATTATTTATGCCTCAGAAAGAGAAGCATTATGTCATAAATGAGCAATTTATTCCAGGCAAAAAAGTAAAATAAATTAAATACAAGCTATACATTCTGTATGTGGATAGTTTCTAATATCACTCTCTTAACAATATTTACCTTAATTTCCTTATTGGTAATGCATTTCCAAAGAGTTTTTCTACTTCAGTTGCTTCCATTTTAAGTCCATCCAAAATATCCATTTCTTCTTTGCTGAGCTCTCTTATGAAGTTTTCTTCATCTCGTTGAAGCTCTTTGAAACCTTCAAACAGTCTGCTGAATAAGCTGACTTCTTTTTCCCTCACCTTCTCAACTTCTTCTTCTATTTCCTCGACTTCTTTTATGATTGTCCTCTCTCCTTCTTCCACTTTCTTCTCCAAACGCTCCACAAGGGGTGGTTCAGGGCCACAAGTATTGTCTGTTTTTATGAACGTGTTGAAATCACGACCAACTTTTTGAGCTGCAATTTGCAACTCAGGTATAATGCTTTCAGGCAAAACTGAGCTTCTTGTATAAAGTACAGAACCGCCATATCCATCCCATGCATCATTTCTGCCTTTATAGTACACAAATATGTAGTCCTCTGGACTGTTCTCTACTTTGGATGACAAAATATACCTGCAAATAAAATCAATTCGCGTGTTCAGGTGAATTGCAATGCAAGTACAAACAATATGGAGACAAGATATCAATGAGGTAGGAAGGGAAATACCAGTCATCTTGGTAGTGAAGATACTCATTATCATGATTGTAGAGTATCCCGGGATACTTTGGATCTTGCACGAATTTTTGCACTGCAGATCGAGTGAAAAATCCTCCATCAGGTGTCCCTATTCTCCAAGTCAGATTTCCCACAAGTTTGTTTCCTTCTGTATGGAACTCATGCAACTGACAGTCAAAAACATCAAATGTGGGATTTAAACCGCGAGTGATGTACCATTTTCCACTAAAATCTTTCATGTCAAACTTTTGGACGAGAACACTGGGATCAGGTACAGGAAAGTCACCAACATCAGATTTACGAGGTACACATTTCTTCCGGGAGACTGCACACTCATTGAATTCGTCTACAACACTATTTTCAAACAAATCACCACATTTTATCTGCACCAATATTCCAACATATTAATATTCCACAAATGTGATCAAATCAGTATTCAGTTTAATAAGATGTTTGTAGACACCTGACATTCTGTTTCATCAGGTCTATTGTTGCAAGTCTGGAGACAGGCAACATTAGCTGCACATGCAGGGTTTGCAATACACTTTGCAAGCTCTATCCTGAAAGCATAAGACTTCAATAAGTCAACTAAGAGTGTCAGACATGCATGCTGGAATAAAGTATATAAACTCATCAATATGAATAAAGCATTGCTCTTCTTTTGGGATAATCAAGTTCATCAAATTTTGACATATTCATTGAAACAAATTAAGCTATCTTTCGAGTTTCAGGAACAAATGGAATACTGGAAGAAACTACTTTCCTGCATCCCTAGCACCACAACAGTATCAGTTAGTTTGATCACCATAACAAGAAGGGAAGAGAATGGTCTGAAAAAAAGCTTGCTGAAAATAAGTCAAATTCATACAGCTTTTCTCTTGGCCTAATTAGAACACAGAAAGTCTCAACAGTCTCAAAATAAAAAAGGAGTTAGATGGAAAAGCATTACGGTTGGGATTATGGTTCACTTTGAACATGCTTAAAACTTGATTTCATTGATAATAGCGACTAGAATCGAGGACTTATGGAAGGTGGATCATAAAAAGCTAGAGACAGTTTAGGTCAACTCAACATCTTTCAGAGTGAGGAGGTTAAGATAAGATAGCTCCATCAAAACTGAATTTCACATTTTTTTTTATTCAAAACAGAGTAGACTATATTACTTAGTTAATATGTGTCAATACATTGTTACATGGAAGTGGCATTGCAGAACGCCTACTAGTGGTGTTCGGGGATGGGGCAAACTGCCATTAGTACTATTACATACATCAGTTGCAAAAGGTTGCTTAGAGAGCCTAACAAAAAGAGTTCCTTCTTTGTCTGCGTCCAGTTTTGTTGAAACAAACATAGGAGGAACTTCCATGCACAAAAAGGAGTTGACTTGATCCATTTTAGCGACTTCCCTTGCTAGAACATCTGCCACTTGATTTGTTTCTCTAAAGCTGTGGTGTATTAAGCCAGGATGACAATCCACAGAGTACAAACAAGAACCAATGTCACATTTCTTATATATTTTTATATGGGATAGAAGAAAAAAATCTCAGAATTTTTTAAGGAAAAGGCATAGCAAAGCAATCAGGAAAGGTCTATGTAGTTTACTTCCATCTTCTTATCAGATTCATCAGTTTTCAGAAGAAATAAGGCTGTGATCCTTATGCAGCAAAATATATTGGTATAAGGAAGTATTCTGGCATACTTAAGTAACATCTGTACAATTACCTGCACTCTTTCAGTAAGCAAGTACAAGTTTTGAGTGCATCAACAGCATCAGCCTTTGAAGCAACTGACAAAATGAATAGAGTTACAATTGCTGTTTTGGCCAATTGACCCCATTTCTTCCGGACCATCAAAGCTACATCTTCTGGAAATTGGCATATTGTATTTCCCTAAATAGAGGACTTCTGTCAGCAAAGAGAAAGAAGGGGATGGAAAGGATGCAGAGGACAGAGATAGATCCCCACATTCCTTCGGAAAGTAGTAAACGAGAAGCAACAGAATAAAGTTTATCTAAAGTCACCTTAGGTACATTCTGGTTAACACTATGTGCAGAAGAGAGATTTTGTTTCCCCCGTGATGATAGTTGCAGACGTTTAGAATCCAAACCACATCTTATTCTAGGAGATTTCTGCAAGTATGTAGGTATCTGTCTTCGGGAACAAATTTTCACTATGACTATACTACCAAAGTATTCTGCCCTACCCCAGCTAAATCTTGTATGACTGTGAAGCTTTGACCCAACTTGACATTTGATGGTTTCATGAACACACAGAAAGTTTGAATGAGGGGCAAGCGCCATTATTCAACTGGATGACCACCAACTCCAACCTATAGAAATGAAGTATATCAGATTGTGCTATCTTTAAAATCTTTTTGATTGATATCTACTCATGCAACACATGCACACATAATAGGCTGATTGGTCTAAGATGCATATTCTACATGTGTGCGAACATGTGTTGCACGCCAGTACATATCAAATCTTACTATCAGATTCACAGCCAAGAATTTTGCCACATTCACAAGTAGATTGAAATTCTATAATACATAGGTAGGAGTTAAGGTCAAATATTGAAATGCGGAAAAAATTTCAACTCATCAAGATTAAAGGCTGATCCACTGATGAAATATGTATGATTAAGTTGTAGCTATAACCTATGAAACATCTGAAAAATAAACTCTGTCATTACATGTAGCTGCAAAAAGCTTATAATTAACAAATACAATAGCAGCGAAGCCGACGCCCCTCTTAAGAAAACTTATAAAAAAAAATCAAAAGCTACATTCCATTTCCTAACACTTATAATCTTGCTCCAAAGATCAGTTAATTAGTCTCCAATAGACTGGAGGTTGTTACAAAAATCTGAGGGGTTGCACTAAGATTAGAGTAATCATTCTAAGGTGAAGGTCAGGGGACTAACTTCCGTGGAACAAAAGCTTTTGATATAACCCGCGACAAAGACTAGGTTTTCATTTTCCCTGTTCTGTGGATGAGTTCCAGACCAAGAAAAACAGATCTAAATTCCTCCGGGAATTTGGTTAATTTATGAGGTTATTTTTGTTAGGATTTTGAGGTTAATAATGAACCACATTGTTGGATTCACAACAATCTTGTCCTGAAACTAGGCTTAACTTAACCAATCCAATCCCCAATCAAATTCATGTGTTCACTTTGCTTTTCTTCTTCGAGCGTTCTGCTTCAATTAATTCGCATTGAGAATTCACTGAAACTATCCAAAAGTTATCCATTTCATACATATCTATTTACTCATAACATAATTGTTAGAGTGAGTTAAAGTCCTACATTGATTGGGGAATATACGGGTGGTCTGCTTATACGGACTTGGGCAATCCTCTCCTCACAAGCTAGCTTTTGAGGTTGAGTTCTGCTCAGGTGTCATATCTTTACAAGAATCAAGCTCTTGATTTATTCCCTCTCATCCCGACTTTCATGCCAGTTTTCAACCTCCCACATTCATTCTTCCATTCCAACTAAAGGTTTTGGGGTATAGTTCACAATCAATCAAGAACTCAGCCCTCCAATTCTCTCTCAATTCCCCTTCAGTTTAACATTAAATACTACTCCCTCCATCCCAATTAATGTGGCACCGTTTGACTTGGCACAAATTTTAAGAAAAAAAGGAATACTTTTGAACATTCCTGATCATTTGTATGACTATAAATTATTTCCAATTACAGAAAGATGCATTCTTTTGAAACAAAACTGTGTCATATAAATTGAGACGAAGTAGTTAAAGAAATGAAAAGGAGTAGCACATTTACAAAGCTAAAAGTCAAATTGTCAATGCAGAATCATGAAGAAGAAGTGAATTAAATAGAAATCCCAATAACTGACCTCATGTAAATAGAGTGCTATAGAGATTGAACATTGGTTATAAGGAGTTGTTGTGGATTTTTGTATTATTTTTTTTCTTCTGAATTTTGGGTGTTTTAAGTGTGAAAGAGTTGAGTGAAGGGGAAATGGATGGAGGAGGATAAGACATTTTGTGATAATTAGATTAGCAACGTCACCACATCTTCTTGTTTCTGCACATCCTCTCTTTTTCTCCTTTTGGAAGTCTTGGTGTTAAA